TCAAGGACAACAGATCATTTGCCTCGGTATCCTTGAGGTAAGACTCCTTGTTGAATGTCGTTATGACAATTATTTTTTCTAAAGGAACGAAACATATATGAAACAAAAATGATGTTTCCAGTAAGCAGAAAAAAAACCTATTAGATTTATCTTTAAATACATAGATTAGAGTACAGAGATGTTCTTGAGTTACTACAAAGTTTCTGTGAAATTTTAGAGATGCTCATTTGGAAATGACCATTAGTTTTTTTTTTAAAGAAACAGTGTATTTCTTGTTCCAGGCAAAAACTCTACCTTTCTTACACTCTTTCCCAAATCTTCTAATTCTAAAAAATCTTATTATTTTTTTTTTTAGTTCAAAGTGGTTCCTAAAAAACTAAATATCCAACAGTATAAACCATGATACTCAAACTTATCTGTATGCAACTTTTATGTTTCTAAAGGCTAAAAATTGACTATAGTCTTCTGATAATTCTTTTATCTTTCTAAGAGCTTAATAATTATAAAAGATATAAAAGACATTTTCATCTCATTTAATGTAAATACTGTCATTTATAATATTTATGATCTTTTTTTGGCAGTGAAATCTAGTCAAGATATAGCAAGCAAATAAAACAAACGGAAGAAGAAAAGATATTTAGATTGCGTTTTTATGTTTTATGTTTTCTCATGTTACTCTAATTTAATAGTCTACTTAGACCATTTATTTTCCCTGCTTCAGAATGCAGCTTTCTCTGTGAGTTTTTCTTTTTCTCAGTGAGTTTCCTGGCATATGTTCTAGGATAGCTTGTACATGTTCCCATCTCAAAACAATAGCCCCTCCAAAAGTCGTAAATTCTCTTAAGGGGTAACTTTTAGTATCTGCTTTTGATAAAGACATCACAGTTAGAAATCACAATTGTTAAAACCTTTTGACACATAACTTGTAGAACCAAAGAAATACCTAGACTTGCTGTACTAGTCCAAATATGAGAGTCATTTGTTTATTTTTACTTATTTTGTGTTGTTGTTGCCCTAGGTAGAGTGCCAGGGAGTCATAGCTCACAGCACCTCAAACTTGTGAGCTTGACTGACCCTCTTGCCTCACACTCCCAAGTAGCTAGGACTGCAGGCACCATCCAGAACACCTAGTCAATTTTTCTATTTTTAGTAGAGATAGGGTCTTGCTCTCGCTCAGGCTGGTCTTGAACTCCTCAGCCCCTCAGCTTCCCAGAGTGCGAGGATTACAGTGGTGAGCCACCATGCCCAGCCAAATATGAGAATCATTTAAAAGGTGGATATCACAAACATATAGCATTATGTATATACTGAGGCATTTCATTTTCTGAACTTATTACAAATTCTAGATATATTGCATTCAAAATATTTAAATTTCATTTTTAAATAACGTATCTAAGCATAGATTTATTAAAATTATCAGAGTCCTCTAAATACTTTACTAGCCAATACACAGCTTACTGCATCAGTATCCAAAACATTTTTATCTTGATATATATAAGACAAGGCTGAGTAGTACATAAATATTATCAAAATCAAATATATTCTAGGGACAATATTATGTAAAATACATGCTAGTAATTCTTACAAAAACAATTGATTCTTAGTTGTGCAAAGACCACATCCTCATTTCATTTTATCTGAGTGTCTCTGAAATTCTGATATTCCTATGTCTATTTCAGTTAAAGCAAAACTGAAGAAACTGTAATCCAGGGGTGTCCAACCTGCAGCCTGCGAGCCATGTGTGAATTATTTGGGGCCTGTTTTGCTTATCTTTGAGGTCAGATATCACAAAAATTATGCACAGCCTTTTTTTTTTTCTTACTCATCAGCTTTTGTTAGGGTTTGCTTATTTAACATGCAGCCCAAGACAACTCTTCTTCCTCCAGTGTAAGGCAGAAAATAAAGAGGTTGGATCCCTGGCTAAGGGTTACCTCCAATAGTCTGTTTAACAGAGCAATGATAAATTAAAGCCAAGAGAAAAGTTCCGAAAAGGATTTATTGGCTCTAGGTAACTTTAATTTCATATGTAAATGTATGAATGTATGTGCGTGTATGTATTAATCTACATAAGTATCTGTGACTTCCTGCGTCTACTTTAAATAATTTGGAGATTTTCAGAAACAAATGCTTTTTTATTTTTTTGATGGTGACAGCGCCCACCATGATGATAACATAATTAATTATGGTAATACAAAATGTCCAAAGTGACAGGAAAAGTGCAGACAAGGAGCTGACGGGCTGAGTTATCAATTCTTATCTGATTGATCCTCTGACTCTCCTAGTTCTCAGCACGTTAGAAAAGACGGCTTGCTAGATGTCATGTACTACACTGACCGAATCTTTCATCAATCTTAGGGCAAGAGTGACTGCTTTTGAACTTGGGGCATCAGTCATTATGGCATTGTAACTCCTGTTCCTTTCCTAGCTGTGCCGCTTCCCTATCTCCTATCTTCTGCCTGCAGTCAGGGCCTGCCAGGCAGGGGAGCACAGACAGCAGGAGCAGGAAGCCCGTCTGGCTCTAGGCATCGTGACACCACTGTCCATTCGCAAAGAAGAGATGAGAAAAAAAGAGACAGCTTTACCCGCAGGAAGGAGAGGTCCCGGTTGTGCTCAATGCTGGTTATCTCCAAGTTGCCCATGACTACCTCACAGTTTTCGTAGTACTTGCGCAAGGCTCGATACTGCTGTTCCAAGTCAGAGAGAGAGCTCAGCTTATTCTCTGTTCCTGCACACACTGCAAAGACAAAAGGAAAAATACACATGAAGTTTGTAACCTTTGCATGATATGCACAATGATAGTGTCGTCTTCAAAACTTTCTGTTTGATAAGTCTATCTCAATTCTTTGAATTAAAGCAGGTTGAATGTTACTAAGATCCAAAGACCCACACACTAATAAATATCTTCACTTTTCTATTCCTCAACTGCCTGGGCTAATCACAGGGAGTAGGAAGGCAGAACAGAGCGAGAACCTTAGTCCCACTCGCTGGGACCGTATAAAGCATGTGAATACATCTAACCTTATTCAACATGGTTTTCCTTAGGACTTATACTCTATTTCCTAATAGAGTAATTCTACATAGTGGTATGTAAGTAACTCAAAATCAAAACATGGAAAAAGTAACAATTTTATTTTTTAAACAATATTTATTATCGTAAAGTAAGATGTTCTAGTTGTCATGTTTTTACATAATTAAAACTTACACCTGTAAGATCTCAAAAATTCAATGTTTTGAAAAACAAATATTGAAAAACTTAGGTTGAAATGCTTATAAATATATACTACAAACAAGGTATGTGACACAACATAACTTTTACTGATATCAACTGGGATCGTTACTGCTGATTCATGAGTTTTCTGAAATATAATGGACTGCTAAAAAATGGATTAAATCTGCCTTTATTGATTACGAGGTAGTAAATAAAGCAAGAACATAAATGTACAGATTTCAGTGACATTGGGAGCAGAACTTAGTAATAAAGTCATGTATCCATTTACATGTCAAGGAGACAGCAATTACAAAGAATTCACAATACCTCATGTCATCTTCAAGGGATTGGTTTTCTGTTGAGGGAGAGGAGGAAAAATCTTGCTGGGTATATCCTAATAATTAAGACCACCTTAAAGTCTATTTTTACCTATGACCATGTCAGCAATAACAATAATTATAATCCAAAAGTCTTGAAGAATAATGTAAATCTTTAAGCACAAAGCAAGCTCATAAAAACAAAAACACACCCTTTTTGAATCTGGATTTTTAAAGTTAATCAGATAGATAGTATATTTTCTAGAAACATCCTGCTGTGACTTGAATTGTGTCCACATAAAGGATATGTTGAAGTCCTACCCTCCCAGTACCTATGACCGTGACCTCATTTGGAAACGGGATCTTTACAGATGTAATAAGTTAGAATGAGGTCCTTAGGTAGACCCTAATCCCATAGAGTGGATGTCTCTAGAGGAGGAGGCTAACACCATGTTAACATAAAGACAGCCAAGGACAAAGCCCTGTGACCATACAGGTCACGAGTGGAGTGATACATCTACAAAAACCAAGGAGTGCAGAGGATCTGTGCCCACCACCGAAGCTTGGGGGGCTTCAAGGAAGGATTCTACCGAGAATTTCAGTAAGAGTCTGATTCTGCTGACACTCGTGATTTTGAACTTCTTCCCCACCCCTTGTGATTTTGAACTTTTAGAGGATAAACTGCTGTTCTTTTAAGCCACCTAATCTGTGATATTTTTTAGACTACTTTTCTCTGAAATTTCCCATTTAATAAATGTTGCAATTCACTTCCTCTTTCTCTGGGACCCTATCAGTGTACCACCTGCAAACTCTCCCCCATCCCTTCCTGAATGCCCAGACCCTCACGTATCATGCTGGAATGCATTTGTTACTTAGAGAATGTAGTTTTTGTAAAGAGATGAGAATGCTGTTATGGCAATGACTTCAATATCCATTTTTTTCTTTATTCCAGTAACATAGTGCACAACTTTTAGCTGGGCTCTGCCCTCCCAAAATAAAGACTACAGTTCTCTCCTCCTCTTGAAGGTAAGTTTGGCCAAGGAACTAACTTCTGGCAGTTTTATAACACCTTCCAAGAACTTTATTTAAAACATGCTTGAAGCCTGATTTTGCCTCCTTTCTTCTTCCTTGTTTCTTACAACCTACTGCCAGTAATGTAGCCGTGATGTCCAAAATTTCAACCGCCATCTTGGACCATAAGACTGACTGACACACCTGAGAGATGGCTAGGGAATTAGCTAAAAGAGCACAGGATTTTCAAACATTGATATTTCACAGTGTCATATTATCATTAACATCAAGATAATAATGAATATTGGCCCTAACTGCCAAAATATTACAATAGGAAGGATGGAATTCAGTTGAGTAATACACTTTTGACATTAGGTAATTTAAGCTACTCTGCCTGATTGTTTGGCTGAATTCATTCAATTTATAATGAATCTACACAATCATACCTGATCATATCAACATTTTTCTGGTTCTGTCCTTATTAGTAAAACTAACAAACAGGAAAAAAATGAATTCCTGTTGATATCTACACTCATACTCAACATAAGCAGGAGAATAAGAAATAATTGCTTTATGGATATGTTCCTCATGAGTCAAGATCAAAGTCCAGGGTTTTTTTTTATTATTATTATATGTTAAAAGTTCCTTTGGAAAAAACCCTAATCCATAATCTTCATTTTATTGCATCCTTAAAACTTGTAACAAAATCTTTATAAACTTAAAAAATGTTCATTGAGAATAAGTACTAATTATAGCATTTATTAAATAGATTTTAATTGTTTTAAATTCTGTTAAGGACAAACATATTTAAATAGAATTAATTATGGGGGTAATTAAACACCCATTAATAAACTTACTGCCCCATTTCTAAAATATATCCCATGCCACATTTCAACTTATATATGGCATATTTTGTATAGCTACTTTCAATTGGAAATAAAACTTGTACCTTAATATTAATATATAAAAATTCAATATATGATCATCTAAATAAAAAGATTTCCAAAATATTTAGTGGATTCTGATCTTTTCTATAGAAGACAAAATTTTGAAAGATACATAAACTACTATAGTTGCACTACCTGGGTACTTTTCATGTTTCTCATTTTGCATATATTTAAAAAAGAGAGATATGTATTATGAAACAATTTGACTCTAGATAGTTTTCAGCTTGTGGTAAGTTCTCATTGTTGATATTCATTCAGTTATTCCATACTAAATATTTAGGATTTTGCCTAAACTTATCTTAATGGACATATTCTACCCTACATGGCAATAATTCATTTAACTGACATCAAAACTGCTATGCAGAGAATAACCCTCAACTCAGAAAAAAGGTTTTTATTGTTCAATAAATAATCAGCTGTGTTTTGTATGTAATTTATTAAAGTAGAAACTTGTAATAAATATATTTAGAAATATTTTTCAACCAAACAAAAGATCCTCCAGGAAAAGAAAATCTGATTTATCACTTATACTCTGTCTTTCCAAACATTCTAGCCTAGGCAGTTTTTACTATATACTGTTCAATTTCGGAAATATTTTTGTCTCACTGAGGCTTCTGTTCATATTTAGGTTTGATTCAAACTCTCTAGAATAAATAGTATATTCATCATAGCTTTTATCATGAAAGACAGACTGGATTTTAAAAGAACTATTTTGGATAGGTCCATAAAAATCATCTGTACTTCTCCTCATGAAGCCTTCACTAAGTGACTCACAACTTCCATTTGTCGATTGATTTTGCAATCAGGCAATGTATACAAGACAATGCTTAAACCATCAGGTTTCATTGATTTCTCAAAGCTGTTTATCAAAGCAAAATTGGAAAATGTTCTTCACCAGCCAAAACAAGTTTAAAGACATTCAGTCCCCTTTACCAATACCATTATAAAATCCTTCAACTATAAACCTACAATAGTTCAAGCTTTGAGAGTCTGAAATTGACATGTACTCCCCACAGTTTTCATTCCAAATGTAACTCCAGGAGTAAAACTATATGTGAGGCCTTAATAAAATCACCAATTATTCCATTTAGTATTGATTCTGTTACAAATGTAGCTATATTTTCAAACAGAGGCCTTTCATTCTTCTTGATTAAAGATTTATATCCAACAGTGAGTAAACCACATAATCTCATTCAGTGAAAAAAATCAAGAATTAGAAGTTTGAAGCAATATGAAAAGGTTGGTTAACAAAAGTATTCACTTGATTCATAAGGAAAATATACTAGAAAGAAAATAAAGAAATATTAACAATATCCATATTAAAATCCCAAAGCAATTACTGCCTGTCTGCTTGCTATGGCTATGAAACCAGCACGCTATTTGCTCATAAAGGAAAAACAGTAAGAATAAATTAAAAAACCAATCACCTCTCACATCAAATCAGATGTCAATTAAGGAATGAATATTTATTTAGTATCTATACCTAGTATCACGGAAAATAATTATTGTTTTGTCTTTTTTTTATTAAGTCAGATACATATAGATCATGAATACATTGATGCATACGTGGGATACAATGTGCTGATTTTTTTTTATACAATCTGACGTTGTTACATTAAACCAATCAATATAGCTTTCACCTCATTAACTTGATTATTGTGCCAAAACATTTATGTTCTCCACTTCACAGATTTGACTTGTACCCTTATCATATTGCTCTATAGGTGTGGTCCCGCCTTTTACCCTCCCTTTGTCAAACCTCCTGGAAAATATTTATTGATAAATATTTTTGAGGTCTTTTGTAAGGGCTCGTGTAGTTGTACAAGGCATACATTAAAGCATGTAAAGCAGTAAGCAATGTATACAAGCAAACCATACACACACACATGCACACATATGCACGTATATGTGCCAAAAAATGTATACACACAAGAGATGTTATCTATGTATTATATACTGTATTGTGTGTACATGCCCCATTATTAAAGCCTTGAGGTATACAAGCTGAAAGTATATCAAAAAACGTAAAATCTGTTCAGGTGGAAACAAATGAGGCCCTTCCAGCAATACAGATAAGCCAAACAAATTGCAAGTTGCACAGGAGTCAGAAAGGACATTGTTAACTATGTTTCTTGGAAGTGAAATAATGGGCCATAACACAGTCTATCTCAAAACTTTCATAGTGACCCATATATCCTTTGAGCACCTCCTATACTTGCAGAAGTCAAACATGACTTGTATTCATCTTTTG